ATTTCTTTCCCCGTCACTCCTGTTAATATGCTATATCTTATGAACAAAGTAGCCCTGGTGCCAAGGATGGGTGTTATACAGGGGGTTCAGTAACATAGACTTCCACTCATCAAGGTCAACATGGCTACAGCCACTTCTGAGTGCCCAATCTATCTGCAGAAGACACTAACTGCAAACCCCCAAAATGGAGGAAAACGGAGATTTGGTTACCTAAGTGTAACCAGCCAGCAAGCTGGTGGCAGATTGATTATACTGGACCACATCCATCATAGAAAAGGCAGGGGTTTGTTCTTAATAGGGTAGACACTCTGGATATAAATTTGCTTCTGCCAAATTGACCATTCTTGGATTTATAGAACACCTGACCACATCGTGGCATTCCACACAGCATTGCCTACAATCAAGGAACTTTCTTCACAGCAAATTAAATGTAGTGATGGGCTCAGTATCATGGAATTCACTGGTGTCCTGAAGCAGATGGCTTGATAGGATATCTAGAGACAATTACAATCCCAACTACGTGGCAATGCAGTGCCAGGTTCGGAGGATGTTCTGTAGGATGCTGTATGTGCCCTAAAAGAGTGCCCAATATGTGGTGCTATTTCTCCCATAGCTAGGACTCATGGGTCCAGGAACCAATGGTTGGATATGGGAGTGGCACCATTCACTATTACCCCCAATGATGTACTTGCAAAATTTTTGCTTCCTGTCCCCATAACTCTATGCTCTACGGGTCTAGAAGGCTTAGTTCCAAAGGCAGGAACATACAACACTGATTCCAGGAAATACAACACTAATTCCATTCAGCTGGAAGTTAAGCAGTCCCCTCATTCCCTTACCTCCCCCTCACCCCACCTCCAGCCACTTTGGGCTACTCCTGTTTGTGGATCAACAGACAAAGGGGCAAGTTACCATATTGGCTGTTGTGATTGATCCTGATTACCCAGGGGATATCTGACTGATATATAATGGAAGTAAAGAAGAATATGTCTGGAATACAGGAGATCCACTAGGAAATCTCTTAATACTGACTTGTGATTAAATCAATGGAAAACTATAGCAACCTAATTCTGATATTACTCCACGTGACCCAGAACTTTGGGGAACGGTTGGGTTGCCTCACTAGGAAAAGAATTAAAATCAGCTAATGCACTTGAGAGGGCCCTAGTGGCATAGTGGTCAAGCATCGGGCTGCAAACTGCAAAGTCAGCAGTTCAAAGGCACCAGTTGCTCTGTGGGAGAAAGATAGGGTGGTCTACTCGGGTTGCAATTAAAAAAAGAGTTACAATCTCAGAAACTCACAGGGGCAGTTCGACCCTGGCTTATCAGGTCACTATGAGTCGGCTTTGACTCAGCAGTTTAGTTTTAGTCTAATGTGCTTGATGAGGGCAAATGTCATACAGACAGGGGTGGGGGTGGGGTGGGGGGGGTGGAAGAGGGTTGTGGATTAGAAAGAATCACATGGCCAGTAACAGAAAAGAGGGCTGTAATTGTTTTCAGTACTTTTTCTTTGTTTTGTTATATGGGTATGTGTGCATGGGAGGGGACTTCAAAAAGTCTGTGGAAAGATAGAATTCAAAGATACAATTTCTCACAGACTCTTTAAAGTCCCCTCAAATTAGTTGAGGCCTGGATCCTATACAACATACAACATCCCAAATGAAGACTAGGCTGCTTCTAAAGCCCAGAGACTCACAAGGCATTGTGCCTTCTTCTCAGTTGTAGGTAGGGCCAATTTCTGATACACTGATGTTTATTTATTACCCGTGAATGTGACCTACCACTCGTAACTTATTTTATATTTGGGTTGGCTTCGTAAGCAGCCATCCTCCTCATCTCACTCTGTTCACTTTCATGACTGCCTGGATTCCTTCCATTGGTCTGGATCCACTGCTCCAGCTCTGTGCCGCATCTTTGAGAGATAAAGGAAGTTGGATAACTCCCCAGTTTCTATCTTGCATGGCAGGGAAACCAGGGTGTACTTGATAATGCTCAAAAAGTGTTGACACACCAAAGCAAAACCAAACCCTTCGCCATCCTACGCTCTATAGCAGAAGGATTTCCCTAGCCGTAATCCTCTTTTTTAACCATTTTATTGGGGGCTCGTACAACTCTTATCACAATCCATACATCCATCCATTGTGTCAAGCACATTTGTACATTTGTTTCCATTATTTCAAAACATTTTCTTTCTACTTGAGCCCTTGGTATCAGCTTCTAATTTTTCCCCTCTTGGTATCAGCTTCTCATCCCCCCCCCCTCATGAACCCTTGATGATTTATAAATTATTATTATTTTCATGTCTTACACTGACGGATGTCTCCCTTCACCCACTTTTCTGTTGTCCATCCACCTGGGAGGGGTTTATATGGAGATCATTGTGATTGGTTCCCCCTTTCTCCTCTTCCCCTGCTGGTATGGCTACTCTCATTATTGGTCCTGTGGAGTTTATCTGCCCTGGATTCCTGTGTTTCCAGCTCTTATCTGTACCCGTGTACATGCTCTGGTCTAGCCGGATTTGTAAGGTAGAATTTGTAAGGTAAAGGGGGTGGAGGAAAGAATTAAAGAAGTAAAGTTGTATGTTTCATCAGTGCGATACTGCACCCTGACTGGCTCGTCTCCATCACCTTGCTGTAAGGGGATGTCCAGTTGTCTCCAGATGGGCTTTGGTCTCCACTCCACACTTCCCCTCATTCACAATGATATGATTTTTTTGTTCTGAGTCTTTTGATGCTTGATACCTGATCCTATCGACACCTTGTGATCACAAAGGCTGGCGTGCTTCTTCCTTGTGGGCTTTGTTGCTTCTCAGCTAGATCGCTTCTCAGTTTATCTTCAAGCCTCTAAGACCCCAGACACTATCTTGTGACAGCCGGGCACCATCAGCGTCCTTCACATTTGCTTATGCACCTATTTTGTCTTCAGCGAACTTGTTGGAAAGGTGAGCATCATGGAACGCCCTGACCGTACGTCATCTTTAAGGAAGCCGGCTGTCATATCTTTCCCTCTCCTAGGGGGCGGTGAGTTCAAACCCCTGTTTTTGGTTAGCAATGGAGCATTTTAACCGATGCACCAACGGGGCTCTTTGGTTGCAACACTTGCAAATATTTTATTTCACCAATGGTTTCATTGCTTCCGTAGCCTGCTAGGCTGACACTGCAATCAATGTCACTTTAGTCAAACTTCGCGCAAATTTTCCCCTTTTGACTCACTCACCAATTAACCAGACAAAAGCTCTACAACTCGACTTGCCTTCGGGAAGAACGGGGTCACTGGGAAATCGCAAATCGAAATCGTCCCGGGTTTCCCTGCCACCATGGCAACGCGACCAGGAAGGGGCGGCCTCGGCCTTGCTCCACCCCACGGCGCCGGCTGTCCGG